ATGGGGGGTAAGCAATGAGAATTGTTTCAACAATCCTAGGGAGGGGGACATGGGCCTGAACAAAGGTGGGAGCAGAACTCGAGGAGGCCTCTTCTGTACTGCTTTGCAGGACTTCCTACATTCCATCTTGTATTATAGTAATGCAGTGTAGGGTTAAACTGAAACAGACTTTCATTCCCTCGTTCTGCTACTAGGTAACTTTGAATAAATTGTTTAACTATTCTGAGTCTGTTTCTCCATGTGTAAATTGGAAGTGATAGTTACAATACCTGCTCCATTGGATTGCTTAGAGGAGTAAATGAAGTAAATGGATTTTCTTCCTTCACACAGTACTTGCCATAGCAAGCACTCAAAGTTAGATAATACCGTATCTTATGATTTTCTATAATGACAGTGGATTCGTTTTACAATCATGTCTCAAAAGTTAATTAAGGAAAATACACACACACAGTTTACCACCTCTATCTGCAGCTAGGCTTTGTGAAACAGGTCCTTGGGGGAAGAAAAGGAGGTGTGTGTGTGTGTGTGTGTGTGTGTGTGTGTGTGTGTGTGTGTGTGTTGGGGCTGTGAGATGATTGCGGGGAGCAGATGGACTTCTGGGGAGAGCATCTGTAGGCCTGGCTATAGAGATCTGGGTTCCCAGCTCTAGCAACATCTGGAAAGCAGTTTCATCTTCTTGGAATCTCATCCTGAGCAGCTGAATCTTATCGCAAAGCAGTTATTTTGGAACTGAGCACACTCAAAGCAGAGGAAACCAGAGTCCCATTAGTTCTGTGTCATCTCTGCAGAAGACTAAGACAGTTTCCAGGCATGAGGCAGTCCTCTGTCTGGTGGTTGGGTAACATAATTGATAACCTTGTTATAATTTCACTGCAGTCTCTTTCACCCTAAATCTCTTCCTGTTCTTGGGAACAAAGTTAATTTTTATTCTCAGGCAGGAATTGAAAACCTGCATCTGGCATATGCTTGTGTTGAAAATACACAGAGTTCAGGAAGGAGAGTTCTAGCTCACAGCCATCAGAGGTTTCTTGGGAAACAAAACTCAGCTCTTCTAACTCAGACTCCTTCTATCTGTCTTGGTGTGGGGACATTCCTGGGGTTGCCTGTACCTACAGGGGTCAGCAAAGTAGGTTTATAGTTATAATACAAATAAATAATACAATAATTAATAAATAATAATACAAGAATAAACTCTGTGTTTTCTGTAGTCACAACTGTAAGCCTACTTTTGCCCAACCCTGTACACAAAGCTCCACAAAAAAGGGAGGACAAGGACTGTGACTTCCATCTCTCATCATCTGGCTTAGCCCTGAGCACAATTGGTTTAAGACCTGAGCTGCTCTTTTGGACCTTTCTTGGGCAAATGAAGGAAGCTTTGCCGTTGAAATTGACCTTGTGTTTATTGAGAGGCAGGAGATTAAGCTTGTAGGCTCTACAATTAGCTTCTCTGCTATAGTGCTCACTTTGTGAACTGTGTACCTCGGTTTGCTCATCTATAAAATAGAGATGATAATAGTACTTACCTCATGGTATTATTGTGGGATTGAATGAGTTAATAATTGTAGAGCAGGGCCCTCAAAAATGTTGTGGTTATTATAATTACTATGATGCTGCTGCTGATGATATTATGACATTTCTCTCCTCTGTTACATTTCTGGGGGGGTTTTTAGTTCCTTGTAGGAGATATTCTGAATTTGGCATTTTAAAAGTGTTTTGATTTTAGATTTAATATTACTTCTTTTTTTAATATCATTCATATGCCATAAAAGTCATCCATTTAAAGTATACATTTCAGTGATTTTTTGTATATTCTCAGTTGCACAACCATCCCCACAATATAATTTTAAAACTTTCCAACACCCTCCAGAGAAACCTTGTAGCCATCAGCAGTCATTCTCTTTTCTGACGGCCCCTTCTTGCCCCTACCAACCACTAATCTACTTTCCAACTCTATGGATTCACCTATTCTGGACATTTTATACAAATGGAATCATACAACATGTGGCTTTTTGTGTCTGGCTTCTTCCACTTAGTCTAATGTTTTCAAATTCATCCACGTTTTATTCTTTTTTCATTGTCAAATTGTCACCAGTGAAGGGATTCTTGCCCCCCACTACAGAAATCAAGAAAGGAGGCAAAACAGATTCGAAAAAGAAGAGGTTTGACCTGACCGGTGTGGCTCACCTGGTTGGGCCTGTCCCGCCAAGCAAGTCACTGGTTCGGCTCCCTATGGGATGCAAACCTGGGCTGTGGGTTCAGTCCAGGACAGAGTGAGTGGGAGAAGCAGCGGATCAATGTTTCTCTCTCACATTGACGTTTCTCCCCTCTCTTTCTCTCCGCTTCCCTTCTCCCCTAGGGTAAATGAATAAATTCTTTTTGTTCAAAAAACAGCTACACTTTTTTTTAAAAAGAAGATGAAAAGGTTTACTGAAAACAAGGTGGAGAGAAAGGAGAAAGGGAGGGAGCTTGATGCATCAAGGAAGCACACACTGGCAGAGTCTGGCTTCCCCTGCTGCTGCAGGGGCCTGGCTCATACAGCGCTGGGTTTCCCCCTGCAGGCACCGAGTGGATTCCTTTCTTCTCCAGATTCCTGTGGTGAGCTAGTGCTGACTGATGCAGGCGCATTGGTTTGGGTGAGGTGCCTAAAGAGAAATTTTGATCTTATCTAAGAGAAGCTCAAAAACTGAAGAACATTCCCGTCCATCTTCAGAGAGGCTCAGCCTGTCTCGAAATAACATTTTAGCTGAATAATTTTCCACTATGTAGATATACCACATTTTGTTTATCCAGTTATCAGTTCATGGACATTTAGGTTGTTACTACTTTTTGGTCATTGTGAATAATGCTGCCCTGAACATTTATGTACAAGTTGCTGTTTGGATGTATGTTTTCATTTTTTATCAGTATATATTTGGGAGCAGAATTGCTCAGTAATGTGATAACTCTATATTTAGCATTTAGAGGAAGTGCCCAACTATTTTCCAAAGTGGCTGCACAATTTAGATTCCCACCATTTGTGTATGAAGAATCCAGTGTCTCTGACCAACTCTTGCTATTGTCTTTTTTATTACAGCCATCGTAGTTGGTGTGGAATTGCATGCCGCCATGATTTTGATTTGCACTTCCCCATGACTAAACATGTTAAATATCTCTGTGTGCTTGTTGGTCATTTGTATATCTTCTTCAGAGAAAAAGCCACTCCAGTGCTTTGCCCATTATATAATTGGGTTGTCTTTTTATTACTGAGTTGTAGGTGTTTTTAATATATTCTGGATACAAGTTCCTTACCAAGGTATGATTTAAAAATGTTTTATACCATTCTATGGGATGCCTTTTTACTCTCTTCATGGTGTCATTTGATGCAAAAAGGTGGGTTTTTTTGAAATGAAGTTCAACCTATTTTTTCTTTTGTCACTTATGTTTTTGGTGTCATATTTAAGAAACCATTACCTAACCAAAGGTTGTGAAGATTTACACTTATTTTTTTCTAAGCATTTTATAGTTTTATCCTTTAAATTTCAGTCTATGTCTCAGAGATTCTATCCATTTGGTAGTTTTTCGATTATTCTGAGTCACTACCACAAACCTAGTTCAGGCGACTATTCTCTCACACATGAGATACTGCAGCATTTAGTTGTTCATCCTGTACCCACTCATGTTCCCTGAATATGTGCTCCCCAGTGCATCCCTTCTTGATACAACTTGCAGGACCCTTGGATCCACCATCTGCCGCACTAGACCATAAGGTTCTTGAGAACAGTCTTTGTCTTATATTTCTTCATATGTCCTGTGATCAACCAGAAGCTCACTGTTACATAAATGAATAAAGTTTTAAAAAATCAAAATATTGAGAAAATTATAAACTTTAACATCATAGACTTAAACTATCAAACATCAGAGATGAACCTGGAGCCTCTGAGCCAAAGCTTCCCTGAGTAACTCATGGTGAGGTGACCTTGGTTAGCTGAGACCATGCTTACATTGGCTGCATTGGTGCCGTGCTCTGGGCTCCTCGCACTGACCTTCCTTTGGATCTGGAATTAATGTACTCCTAAAGTATGTCACAGGGCTACTGCTAGAAATCACTACCTTCTTCTGGACTGGTCTCTACTGATATCTGACGCACTGAAGCCACGTGGCTGCTCAAGAGAGCCAGTTCTTGTCTGTTTCAGAGAAACTGTCCTCAGGAACTCATCTTTCCCCTGGAAAACTCTGATCAGAAAGTACAGAACTGGCTAATTTTTGTCTTCATGTTCTTCACACAAGCCCTGCCCTCACATCAGCGTTCTTACCTCGTCAACCATTGGAGTAGCTTCCAGTGTTTGCGGATGAGATAGCATTCATGATCTGATTTCTAGCGCCAGGATCATGCCATTGACAAGTTTTATCTATTTCTTCATTTGGCAGCCTGCTTAACACATCTATGAGTCTCTATGCAGCCATTCTTAAATGAGGATAAAAATCATAGATATCTGACAAGATTATTATGAAGAGTAAATGAGATTAAGTGTATACTGTATTTAATACCACACTGTAAAGATTTTATGAATGTCAACTATTATTAATATTCTATGTTTTGTTTTAAAACAGGATTTGGGATAGCTATGAAAACATAAGCAAAATTGTAAGAGAAAACCAAAGTCAAAAGTGATACTGCATTACCACAAACAACAAGGATTTTGGTTTTCTTACATCAGATAGCAACTTGGCCATTCATTCACTGAATCAGCATTTAACTTTGAGCAGCTCTCAGGCATGGCAGCATGTATGAAGGAGTAAGAGACTTTGTTTACACTTCAGGTAGGGGAGCAGAGCACGGAGATACCCAGCTGAAACACAGCCTAGCAGGAAATGTGAAAGAAAGTGGAGGAGGGCTTGCCTGAGGGAGTAGCCCCCACATAGGATGAGCTGAGTCTGCAGTTATTTCCAGTTTTGATTGTATCTGCTCCATGTTCATGTTTCAGCAACCACTTTGGGGCTGAATGTAACAAAGCAAGAAGATGGCCAGGATTAACACCCAGTATTCCTACCCCAACTTGCCCCACCCTGCAGTGAGGACCACAGACAGAGATCTTGACCACCTTGAAAATGGCCTCAGCAGGTAAGATGGACTTTTTTATTTTATGCTTGGAAAATGTTATTCCCATAGCTGATCTATAACTGTAGGGGAAGAAATGCCTTTGCCTGTGGCCATCCACAGGTCAGTGGGCTGGGACTATTCGCAATGAGCCTTCTAACTTCATTTTTCATCCCACTGAATCCTCACAACCTAGGCTGAAGTAGTTTTTGTTCTTATTTTGGAGATAAGGGAAAATAAGGGTCAAAAAGTTACATAACTTCTAGAAAGTAACAAAATGAAGATTCAAATGTGGCAGATTCAATCCTACTGTAGAAACTTCTCCAAACAGCCACACTTTCCCAGGTATACATCACACATGTACTGGATTCTCTATGTGCACCAGCCATTGTCCTGGGCACTGGGGATGCCCTGCCTTCCTTTCCAGGGGCAGGTCAGGATTTGCCCTGTGCTCGTGGGCATGTAGGGAGTGGGCCATGCCCTTCCAGCAGAGCCTTAACCCCATCAATGACATCCAAACACACTCAGCTGTAGGAAAATCTGTGGCTTCGAGTTCTACTTCTAGCCTCTTCGCTAACTTACTAGGAGACGGGAAAATTCACCTTAACCTTCAACCTTCAGCCAAAAGATAGAGCAGCATTCTTTCCCAAGTTCCTGATATACTAGTGAAGAAATGGGAGAATGCCTAGTTGGTGCAAGTGGACTTACATTTTCATATTTCTTAAATTCCCAATGAGTTGATTGAGTGGAACCATGAGAAACTTTATTTCCAATAGTTATGTTATATGTGTCTTACATATAAAACACTGAAAATTTCTCCCTCCCATGATAACTGCTTATTATTTGATAGCCAAAAAAATGAAATGACAGGCCCTCAGTCCCCACATCACTGGCATTAGGCCCCCACCCATCATTTCTCCTCATTCAGATGCACATTCGCCTCTTCTTGGTCTGAGTTCTTGGTTCCAGCTCCTTAACAAACTCTGTGAATAAGTGATGGGCAACAATTTCCAGAGAGATTGAATCCCTGTTATTGAAAATTTATGCAGCACTGCCCAGAGTGGCTCAGTTGGTTGGAAGTCATTCTGTGGAGCAAAGAATTGCTGGTTCAAATACCAGTTGGGTCACATACCTGTGTTGCATGGGGGTTCATTTCCAGGTCAGGGTGCATGCAGGAAGCAGCTGGCCAATCCACATTTCTATCCCTCTCTTTCTCCCTCTTTTCCCTACTCTCCAATCTTTAGAGTTAAGGAAAGGGATGGAGAAAGAGAGAGAAACACCAATGTGTGGTTGTCTCTCAAGTTCCCCCTACTGGGGACCTGGCCCGCAACCCAGGCACGTGCCTTGACTGGGAATTGAACCAGTGACCCTTTGGTTCACAAGCCAGCACTCAATTCACTGAGCCACACCAGCCAGGGTGAAAATAAATGAGTAAAATCCTTGGGAAAAATAAAAGAAAATGTATGCATCCCTTGACCCCCATCTTTTGGGATTCAGGCAAAAGGAGGAAAATCTCAAAGCACCCCAACAGAGATTTTTTTCCTTCCACCCATTTTAACATGGTGTTGGAGACCCAGGAAATTTGATTTGACTCAGGGGCTTCAGAAATCCCCCCTCCTCATATTGTTTCCTCCTAAGTGGCCTACTGTCAATACCTGGGCCCCACCACTGAGGACTTACTCCTTTAGGTTAAGGCATTACCCCTTACTTAAAAGAAAAAAGAACATTTTTTAGGACACTTATTTGCTATTAGTACTTTGACATGCATTAATAATGTCCTTCTCATATCTGAGCTAATAAAATCCCTCGAAGGTGGGCTTCAAAGGAGTTTGGGAGGAGGGAAGAAAAGGCCCAAGCATGGGGCATGTTAGGGTGGTGGGTGACACTGGCGGTGAAACTATTCACAAAGAGAAGAGAGTATAGAGAATAAAGTTTTTGATAACTCTCCAAGAAATGAGGGGGCATGGTGTGGAGAGATACACCAACACTGAGGGGTGCAGCTTTGAGCTTTTATTGGACTATAATTGGATTAAAAAGGCTGGAGGCGTTGGGCATTGTAACACAGGGTTGCAGCTGGTTCCAATGTTATCTTCTACCTGTGGCTGTAGGGAGCAGTCAGTTCTGTTCTTGCTTTCCAGTAATTTCCAGTCCTGGGGACAAGCTTGGAAGAGTAAAATGGGAGTCATGTTTAACAAGGTCACAGGCCTACCCAGCAAATGGCGCTGACTTTATCCTTTCAGGGCACAGCAGTAAAGTCAAGCTCCCTGGACAGCATCTGGCTCCTAGGATGTTGGGCTGTCAGGATTGGGGAGAATTTAAAGCAAAATGGAACTTTCCCCCGTTGCTCCCTTTTGCCTTCAGTGGGGCATAAACAGAGTGTCTCTTGGAGCTTGCAGACTGCCCAGGGCTGAAAAGAACGGCAGAGGCTCAATCTGGCTCCTTGTAGTGAGATACTCAAGGGAAAGAAGGCCCAGTGGGGCTGGTGCTGTTGCCCAGAATGACTGCTTGACCAGACACCACAGTGGTCCAGGTCTGTCTGATTTGTCCTGGCTCTTCCTGGGCCATCGGCCTGCAAGCCTGACTTGTGGATCTTTCAAAAAGTCTCATAAGGGCTCCTGGAAGGAGTGACTGCAAAAGGAATTGCTCGCTCCTTAAGCCACACTGACACCTAGTAATGGGCCTCTGGCTTCCAAGAGACTCACCATGGGCTCATGTTGGTTCATATTCTCTTAGGGGGTCGATCATCCACGCAGGCCAGGGCTCTGAATCAATGCCCTTCAACAATGCTATTTGCCACCTTCAGGGCCACCCCCCCCCCAGCCCCCTATTCCCTGACCAGCATGGTGGCTAGCAGCACAGGTCAGGCTGCTGACCTGAACAATGGCTCCATAACTGACCAGCTCTGAAAAGATGCTTAACTGCTCCAAGCCTCAGTTTCCTCACCCGCACAATCTACCAGTACTTACCTCAGAGGGCGGCCATGACGTTTAAACAGGTTAAAGCTCTTGGCTCAGTCCCTGTCTATAGTAAGTACTCCAAGAACACTCACTGTCAGTCTTGGAAATGAGTCCCCCTTCCATGGGCCTTCTCTGTGTCTAAGGCCGAACACCTTCTCCTCCTCAGAGAGTCCCAGCTGTTCTGACATCTGGAAATAGCCCTTTTCTGTCTGTCTTTCTCAGCCTGACCACATCTAGCCACGTCTCTCTGAGTCCCACGTGAGGCCTTGCCCAACTGCTCATTTGGGAAAATCTTGTTGACAAATTAACACAAAATCCCATGGAAACACTGCGTAGATTTCAGAGAGAGAGAGAGAATGCATCTTTCATGAGAAAAGTGCTCTGCTTTATCTCGTGGAGGCAGGAGTGGGTAAACAGATGGAACTTTCCAGAATGGATGCCATGGATTGAGAACCGTATTCAGGCTGGGAGTGGAAGAGTGGGGTCCAGGCCTCTCCCCTGCTTCCCAGTGCAGGCCAGCATCTGTCTAGTTCACAGACTAATTTTCCCTCTAAGATTTATTTGAACACAGAACTCTGGCACATACAAGAAAACATTTTAAAGTTTCAAGTCACTGTTTTAGGGGAGGAAATCGTGTTTGAACGAACCACAGATCTTTGCCTTAAAACTCAAAGCGTTCTAGAAAGCATTTGGGAGAAATAATTGTGAATGTGTGTCCTTAAATATTAATCACTCTTTATACTCAGTGATATTGAGAAGCTATACTGGGAGCCCGTGTCTCTAGGTAGCCCTTTGCTGAGTTCCCCAAGAGGATGGAGACACCATGGCCCTCTCTCCTGAAAAAGCTCTGCCCCCGGGGGTTTTCTTGTTTGCTTTTTTTTTTTGGTTTTCTGTTTTGTTTTGTTGGGTTTTTTTTACCAAATTGGAGACCCAGATTTCTATTTCTCTTCTTAAATCATTGGGGCCATTTTCCTAGTGAACAGTCATAAGGAAGAATTAAAACATTTCATTTGAACAAAAAATTTAAGTTTACTCCCTGAAAATACTGAAATAAAAAGTTTGGAATTTTTCTTTTCTATTTAGATCTGTTTAGTTGACTCAATTATTTATGAGCTGGTTGGTATATTTTTGAAGATGACACAATAGGGAAAAACTTCAGAATCTAAGACAGAAAATTGCAGCTAGAACCACGGTCACCCCAGGTCCCAGCCCAATGTCCTGGGGTAGCTATTTTAGGTGAGCTTTGGGGCAAAGGTGTCTGTGTCCTACAGAAGAGATGTTTTCTCCATGTTGATCCCTGAGCAGAGCCCCAAACAATTATCACCAAAGAAAACTATTTTCAGCTGCTTCCCTGGACAGAAGGCAAGAATGCGGAGGCTTCAGTTCCCTGGGCACACGCGGCCAATGACTGTGCGTGCTGATCGTTTGAGTTTCTCAGGGCTTGGGAGGAAGAAAAAAAATATAATGCACCATCATACTCTTCACTCTTGCTCTAAAAGGTCACTCCTGTTTACTCTCATGTCTCCAAAGTCACTGGAGGAAGACACCAGATGCTCCTTCATATAAGGCAGAGTTCATTAATTACGACTTCCAGTTCTGATGAGACCTCTATCTTCTCTCAATGACAGGGGACACATTTACCTCATAGACATTAATTCCTCTTTATAAGTAAACATAGAAGGCGAGCATTGTATGTTGGAAAGTACCTTGTCTTTCAAAGAGTCACCTCATTGTGTTGTACTCCTTGCTTTTGTTATTGCTAATTACCAAGTTCATGGGGCGTCTTGCTGCAAGAGCACCATCACCACCTATATGGCTGGGGTCTGTGACTGGGGAGGCAGGCAGTTTCAGGGCTGTCCTGACCTAATCTGTTCATTTTGCAGAGACAGCAGCCCTGTCAAGTCCTTGCCCCAAGTACCCCAGCCAGCTCCAGGCAGGGCAGTGTCCGGTTTCCATTCTCTCTTACTTCTGAATTTCCCTAGGAGATACTAGATCCCGTTTTTTTCATTGATTGCCAAAAGTGCCTCTGTTTTCTCTGTACCTGTGCATCTTTGGGGACAATAAATGTCACCTCAGATATTTGGTTCCTCCCTTGTCTTCCCATCTTCCCTTCCACTTCAGAGAAGTAACTAATTTGGTTTACTGTTTAAACACACCAGGCATTTAACCAGGTAGGCACTCTAGCCTAGAAGAAAGACATCATAGGAGAAATTCAAGCATCAAGAGCCAAATGCGGAGATGCATTGGAAAGAAAGGTTCCCTCGGGTCCTGTGAACTTACATCCTATGTGGTTCACAGTGTTACCAGAGGGAAGAACGATCTGGAAATAGCCTGTTCCATGGTATTGCAGAAAAGGGATTTCAGGGCACACGTGTAGGGAGATTTTCAGAGACAGTGGCAAGATTTATTAGCGCTCCCTTGAAAAGGCTGCTGAGGCACTTCCCCAGCACTCAGCTGGTAGGTTGAGTTCACTGCCCCCAGGTTCACCGTCCATGTCTCATCCATGAGCAGGGGGTTCAGCTCCATCTGGCAGTGGGCGAGGTCTAGCTTCAGGGCTGCAGGAGCACAGGGTAGCCTACCAGCCAAGGAGGATCAGCAGGGCCCAGAGCTGCATCACACCAGCACCCAAGGCTGACCCTGGGCAAGTTACTTAGCTTCCTTGCGCCTCATTCCCTATCAGCACATCCACAGCCAAGTCTCGGGGGTGCATGGTCTGGTTACCACTGTGCTCTGGCCCATGGGGCTGCTAAAGAGAGTCTGGGGCCTTCCTTAAGCTCCCCTTGACTTACCCCTTCCCCTTGGGTTTGGGAAGGGGTAAGCTTTCTTTCAAACTATCCAATCTCTTTCCTGGCTTTTCCCTTGCTTTTATCCTTGTTCTATACAATCTTTTAAACCAGATTTTCCCAGTTTTGCCTTTTCCCATTTATGGTCACCATTTTGGCTCTTACTGCCCATGCCTCAGTCAAGGAATGTCCCCCTTTACATTTCTCCTTCCCCCCAGTTAATTGGGAGCCCTAGTTAATTGGAAACTGGCCTGTTGTTCCCCAGGGTGACTGGAAAACCAGTCTCTCCTGAGTGATTGGGCTATTCCCTGGAGTGTCCATGAAACTGTAGTTTCCTAACTTAATCAGGCTCACCAGTTTTCTTCCTTCTATTTTGTTAATACTTAACGAGCTTACTACACTAACACCCTGATTCTTTGCAGCTAAACATGCCCTCAGGACTTGGGTCTTCAAACAACACTTAGATCAATATGAAATCCCATTTTCCCCTTTCTTTCCTTTTCGAAGAGCAGGAAGCAAAGTCAGGAGGTGTGAGTGGCCAGCCCACAGAACACCTGGCTAATAGAAGCTGGGGTAGGGATTGGACCCAGGCCTCTCACTCTGCTGTCTCTCCTCCGAGCAAGCGTCACAGGTCCAGCCCATACACAATCACTCTCACTGATGCCAGCAGCAGGCCTCCTTTGAAATTGGGGTGGGTTCTGCCCTCCTCACCATCCCATAAGCTCTGATGTCATGGCATTGATCTTTTGCTGCTAATGCAACTAAATCTGGATTCAGGATGTGACCATCCCCACGAATAATTAACAGAAACCTGACTCAGCAGAAATGCTGGGCTGACCACTTGGTGCCCAGAGCTCCCTGAGGACCTGCTGGTGAGGATAAAACATGTCCATCCTTGGGATTGCCTCCAGATCTTCCAGGTGCATGTGCCCCAGGCTGCTGCTCTGGAGTAGATGCAAGCAAGCTTTGAAAAAGGATGAAATGACATTCAAATCTCAGTTTTGCTACTCAGTTATGTGCCCTTGGGAAAGTTACTTAATCTCTTTGAACCTTGTTTTCCTCTATTTCATGGTTATTATGTGGATTAAATGATAAAATGTATGTGGCTGGCATACAGTAAGTAGTCAATACATGTCATATAGTTTGTGTATTGTATTTGTGAATGAGATGGAGTTAGGAGGAAAGACTCAAATAAATGAAAAGTCCAATTCTTACATCCAACAAATAAATTGTACATATATAAAACAAACTTCTGACTTAGCAGCAGCCCTGTTATAGGACTTCAGGTTTTGGCTGATAGTAGTTTGTAATGGGGGCACCAAAAGCACATGAACCCACAAACATACAAAGACCTTTGGCTTGGGCTCCAGTAGCAGCAAGATGGTCTTTGTTTCCCTGCCCAGGCAGGTGAGAAGGCAGGAACCTGCTCCCAGGAGAATGACCGTGATGGGAAGAGACATGAACCTGATGAGGAATGAATGGGTGAGCTGAGGGTTCCAGCCTGGAAAAGCAACACAGGTGGGAGAGGTGTCTCATCATGAAAGGTGGCTGTGGAGAAGATGGTGGTGCCTGACTCTGTGTGTTTCCAGCAAACTAGAAAGTAGACTTGTTGTGGGGAAGCTGAGGGAGGGGAGAACCAGCTAGTAGTTGGGGCTGTGCAAAGATGGCCCCATCGGGACATGGGATATAGGATTCTGATATCTAATCACTCACTGGGGAGAAGTGGAACCTTTTTCTCTGACATTAATTCTTCCTTCAGCTTTAACGACCTTGTTAAGAAGGCTGATTAGGTTGGAATAGGTCATGAGATAGAATTAACTTGTCTCACCTGAGCCTTTCAAGACTCACAGAATGAAGTGCAAATCCCTAGAGGCCAATGCCTGGATGGCTTTTAATCAGGCTGCTCAAACCTCAGCCCCAAGAGATTTTAAAAGAATGGGGGTAAAAAAGAAAATATTCCCAGATACACTGGTCTTATTCCAGGCAATTCCATAAACACTAAGGAAGGCCTTTTGAAGGTGGCAGCACTTGATCTTGCCTGAGAAGATAGGATTTCATTAGGCAGAGATGAGTTTGAACCAAAATCCTCCTACTGGAACCATAGTGTGGAAACAGCTGCTGTGGCTCAAGATGGCGGCACTGGGACCTCCCCCTCCCAGTGCTCTGATGAGGACCATTTGCCGCTGGCTTGCCCCTCTCACTGAGCCCATGGCAGCAAGCAGCTGGTCTTGAGCTACTTTCCTTGGTCAGGCTTGCTGTAAAGGAAAGGCCACATTTATCCTAAGAGCCAGGACCTGCAGCAGCGTGACCTGAAGTGGAGAGCCCCTGGGTTGAGGCCCCGTGATGGCAGCTGTCCTCATTAAGCAGGGCATCTGGCCATCTCATTCCTGAGTGTGTCCTGGAGGTGGATGAGCTTGAAATCAATTTAGCCTGCCGCATATTTGATTTCCTAGGACCCACTTGCCATGCGAGGAGACATCATCAGGACTGCAGCAAGGGATCGCCATGGAGACCAGAACACGGTCTGAATCCAGGCAAGGCTCCTTCACCAGCCAAGAGCCTGCCAGGTAACTGATGGGTCTCAGCCTTCACCTTGGGAAGGGGGAAACTAAGGCAGGAAGGAAGTAGATGCATCTCAGAAAGAAGTAGTGTGGGGGGGTGGGTTGAAGATTCAGAGGAAAAAGAGGCAGGAGCAGAGCAGTCAGAAATCCATCAGTGAGTAATTCTCTCTTGGGTCAGGTGTTCTGAGCTCAGGAAAGTCTAAGAAAAACTGCCTTTAACTGAAATTGCTTTAGTAAAAAGTGACGTTGAGGGACTAGCTCAATTTTGGAAGAATTCAGGAAAAAAAAGCCAGCAAGGGAAGGTTCTGAAAAAAATTCAGGAAAAATGTTCAACCAACCATGGGAGACCATTGGGTGGACCATGAAGCATGTAGACCACAACAGTGGCGCTTCTGAAGTAGCCTCTGGCAGGTCCTCACCAGATAGTGTGTGTCCATGTAAAGGCATTTGGAAGGTTAACCAGGCTCTGTCTGCCTTCTGATGCCATCTGTACTCTGGCTTCAGTAGCCGTACCACCTGAGGGAAATCATTGCACATTTTCAAGTCTTATCTAGAAATGTGTCTAACCATGCTGGCCTCACGGTGGCTGCAGGGGCTGCATCAAAGCCAGGCACTGACTCATGACAGAGGACCACAAATCTGGTCTCATTGTTTCCACCCACCAACTGTTTTTAACAATGTCATAGTTATTTTCCATAATCATGTGTTCTACAGTTTTTTGCTTAAGATAATTGTAAAATTTTTTCTATACTTATTCTTCACATTTTTCATTATAAAGGATGCTACCATTATTTATTTCACTATTCCATTATAGCTGGACATTTAAGTGATTTGTAGTGTTTTTGTCTTACTAATGAAGTGCTATCTTAAGGCTCATTGATTGCAAGGAAGAGAATGCCTTCAAACTAGCTCAACTTATAAGACCTGGGAGCAGGGCTGGGGTAGGGTGCCAGTAGAAGGGAAGATACAGGCTACCTCATAGAGATGGAGCCAGTGGGGCTCATAAGGGGAGCTGGGTGGCAGTATCTTTTCCCTCTCATTTTCTAGTGGACTTGTAGGTCTTGGTGCTTTTTTTCTGCCTGTCTCCTGTGTTGCTGTCTCTGCTCACACATCAACAGGCACAGGCTGAAAACGGCCTTCACCGTGTGATTTTTGAGTTGAAACATTCAACCCCTTCTTGAATGACTCTTAGATCAGTAGCCTGAGTGACTCTGTGGTACAGCTGTCCGTCTCTGAGCCCATTGGCTGAGGCTGGAGGGGGTGGCATGGCCTTGGTTTCCACCTCCTTGGCAGAAGGAAGATGTGGAAAGAGGGCAGCATCCAGAACAGATAAGTTGGGTTGCCGTAAGCATCTGTTCCTGGGATGTTTTCTTGCTTCAATTTATTCTCTTAGGCTAAGGTTACAAGAGTGTAATTAGGGTCCATATATGCGACAATTCATTACTTTGTTCCAGGTTGTTCAGAACTACTTTTACTGGGGACTGTGGCATGTGCTGTTAGTACCAAGTCAAGGAAACCAGGCACCAAAATATAGAGCTGAGCCTCTCCTCCCATTCCCCCCTGGCAGAGACAGGGACGGCAGGAAGGTGGGCTCAGGGAAGCTGGAGTTAACACTAACACTGCGCATGTGGACTGATGGTCTCAGGGCCTGAGGCCCTGGTCGGGTGTGGCTCCAGAAGAAGGGTCAGGGCAAGGGACAACTGAGTTTATGTTTGAGCCTGGTCAGAAAATGGGAGTTTGTAAAAGGAACAATAGGACAAGGGTTGGGGCAAGACTCCATATTGTATCTGAGGACAACCTGGCCAGGTGGCTCAGTTGGTTGGAACATCGTCCTGAACACCGAAACGTTGCAGGTTTGATCCCCAGTCAGGGGTGCATAAGGGAGGCAACTGATTAATGTTTCTCTCTCACATCGATATTCCTCTCTCTCTCTCTTTCACGCACTCCCTCTCCCCACCCCTCCCCCACCATTCCTCCTCTCTCTAAAATCAATAAACATAGCTGTAGGTAAGGATTTTTTAAAAACTGTATCTGAGGGCTGGTTTCCTTAAACCTTGCTTTAAATTTTTCACCATTTGGAAATGGTATTTTTTACTGTTTACCAGTTTCACATGGGGCAAAAGGAACAGTGAGCAGAAAAGCTTGCTCATGTCCATTTGTTAGAGTCAAGGTGTTAGAAAGACAAAGCCATAGGGAAGACAATGTCCCTTATGGAGAAAGCTGTGTTCTGGGTGCAGGTGTCAGAGGAGACAGGAATAATAGGTCCCAGCAGAGTGAGGAGCAGCCTGAGCCCAGGACCTAGAAGGAGACAGAACTTTCCTCTTTTTCCTCTGTGCACTGGTGGCCCATCTGTGCCCTTCCAGGTTGTGGCGCCTCGTTGCCTCCCTGCGCATGTGGGCTTCCAGGCACTTAGACCACCAGGACCAGAGACCTGATTCCTTCCTGGAACGTTTTCGTGGAGCAGAGCTCAAGGAGGTATCCAGCCAAGAAAGCAATGCCCAGGCCAATGTGGGTGCCCAGGAGCCATCGGACAGAGAGAGAAGGTAAGGAGCCAAAAGGAGGATAAACCACCAACATCAGACAGGTGGCAGGAGGCATCGCTTGCCTGTTCAGCTATAAGCTGCTCCTTGAAGAAGGCTTCTGTCTTGGGGGAACACCAAGGGCTCTAACTGTCCCTGCCTGAGTCCAAGAAGTCCTGCAGGAGAGAAACCCATTAACAAGAGTTCCAAGCCTTATGTGACCCTTGGCCTCATCCTATTCAGAGCTCAGCTAGTGCTCCCTGTAACTGGCGCACTCAGAAATACACACAGGGGCGATCGCCTTACCCATCTCTGGCCACCAAAGGACCCTTCTCTTAGACTCACTGTATCTCATCTTGGTACAAACACACCTTGATACCATGAGCCTTGGGGAGAACCTAAATAGTACCCAGCTTTATGCATAGATATACATGTATTTTTCTGGGAATAAGGTTGAAGGTTGTTGAGAATTTTCAAGGGGGAACTATCCATGTTCCAGATCAAATTAAAAACCATGGGGAAAGACACAAGGGAGGACTAGGGTGGGGGAGTGCTTGCTTTTTGACAGGAGAATGGGAGGAAAGTCTGCAGAACAAGGGTTCTGGACATCTTTTTTGCTAACCCACTGCCCAATGGGAAGCTCGTGGCCAGTGCTACCCAAGGCAGACATGTACAGAATGCAGGTGCTGGACTGAGCCCACACCCTAAATCCCACACAGCCGGTGCCTCTCTACTTTCTTGTTCTTCAGAAGTCTCCCCAGCCCATGGTCAGGGGTGGAACCACAGGGCCACCACTAGCTGAATCAACAGTCACTGAGCAGGAGGAGGTCTCTAGGACCCTAGAGGCAGTTGGAAGGGAAGACAGGTGAGGCATGCAGGGGAACCTGATCTTCCCTCTGCCTCAGGAACTGGTGGGCTCCTGCTCAGAACCTGCTTTCCGAAAAGAGGAGCTTGAACAGCTGTTTTGGCTGAAATTTCTAGGTAATGTCAAGATTTATAAGATGCAAAGCTGAAGCCCTGACCGATGTGGCTCAGTTCATTGGGTGTTGTCCCGCGAAGCGAGGGGTCATGGGTTTGGTTCCTGGTCAGGGCAAATATGGGGGTGGGGAGCAGCCAACTGTTGTGGTGTTTTTCTCTCATATCAATGTCTCCCTCCCCTCTCTCCCATCGTTCCCCTTCCCCTCTCTCTCTCTCTCTCAAAAAAAAAGATGCAAACGTGAAAATAAGTCTGGTTGCTATAGAACCCTGTCTCTATATAACTTCTGGAGAAAATGCCGTGTGTTTTCGGGTCAAACAAGAAGTGCTCAGCTGTGGGCATCTGAAATGGGCACAGGAGAGGCCCTGGGAGTACATCAGAGGACACAGGATGGCTCTTCCTGGAGCTTCCATTTTACTTCTAGAAATGCAGTAGATGGCAAAATGCACATGCATGTTTAAGATGAAATACAAGAGTTCAAGGCAATTTCTTGCTGGTGATCACTTTAGGACTTTAGGAGACTTACGTTCAGTCTTCTTGCTGGGGAAAAGTGTGAGGGTTGCTGACTCAGATGCAAAGGCCCCCTGGGGTGACATTCTTGGACTCCTATTTTCACATCAGCTTGGACTGCAAATCCTTGGGCTCCCTGAGAAGGGGACCATGGTGGGTCTGGGTGCTGGGACATCCCAAGTTCCCAGGTTCAGGCATCCGAGACCATGTAGGCCCTCCCTGACTGCAAGGCCTGAATGCTAATCACTGCTGAGCCAGAAAGATGGGGGTGGGATGGGGTGAGGGAGTTGGCAGCTAAGGAAAAAGAAAGTGAGGAAGGAGGAGGAGGAGGAGCAAGAGAAGGAAAGAAGGAGGAAACAGAGGTTTGTTAGCAAGTCAACCAGACCCGCTCAGTTTCTTTTGGGCAAACAAAGACTTCTTTAGCTAAATTTGTCAAAGTATCTTCTCTACAATCTTAGTCGAATGCAGATGAACATTAGACTCTGTCGATTTCCCCGTGTGACCAGATGAATGGAGGGTTGAGCTTGCACCTTATCAGGGCCAGGCTTGACTGTACACCAATGCTTGGTCACTATCAGGAAGGTTCAGAGTGCACAGATGAATTCAGTGGTGTAAGATGGTAGCTTATCAATTAGAAAGTCTTCCTGGGGGAGGAAGACTTTAAGTTCTTGAAGCAAAGTCCCACTGGCAAAGCAAAATGTATGCAGAGATAGGTCCTTAGTTCAGTGGGTTTGGGCTTGTGGGATTACCAGCACAGAGGTGTGATACACACAGGCCACTGAGCCCCATGGAGCTAAGCTTTTGCTCCTTCACAATCTCACAGGGAAGTTTTGCTTCCTGGATTTTCAGATGATTAGAACCAATCCTCACATAATCCTGGGTGAAGAGAGGGAGATTTGGGCAGGATAAGAAAGAGTCCCAAAATGGCATTTGGCTGCGTGGTCAGCATCGTAGCAGAGGGACCGAGGGTCAGGCTGGAGTGTTACTGGCCACTGGCTCTGCTCTCCAGGTCTCCTATGAGTGTCTGCAGTGACCACGAACAGGCAAGCCACCGTCCAGCTCTGTGAAGCAAGCTGGCTTCCTTACACCAGCAGTGCCAAAAATGTGCCCTGGCAGTTGACCACTTAGAGATAATACTTTTGACCATGAAGTACTATGCAATTCAGCTTTAAGTAAATGTTAGTTGGTTGCCAAACCAGCTCCTCCTTCTACCAGGTTCTCACATAGATCAGGGGTGGCAGGCCTGGACATCTTCCGGTGAATGTGAGGGCCAGGGATGGGAAAGGAGAGAACAAAAACTAGGACAGTGCTGCCCACATTCTATGTTTGCCCTTCAAATTGGAAGTGACAGCTGTGACTGAATTTTCAAGCGAAGGTGCCCTTTGAGAGCTGGACCTGTAGAGACAGGGTAGCAATTTGTCACTGCTGCTGACATGCCCATTCTGGTGTGCAAGACGCTTGACCTACCTTACCTGAGAGCACCCAGAGGCAGGTGCCAAATTAGGTCCATGTCTGTAGCCTTGCTGCCATTTCCCCGTGGTTAAACTGAGTGAAATAGAGCAGCATCTGAGCCAGAGGCTGGATGGAGTCTCATGGTTGATCCCCATTTATTCAGAAGCCTCCATTTAGCCAAGCATTCACCCCCTCGTCCCCCATGGCTTTTACCAGAGAAAACTGGTCACAAAACATTTTAGTCCCTAAAACCTTCTGTTCTGTTCTCCAAGCTATGTGGGAAGGCCCAGCAGATGGGGTAGGCAGGGGTAAGGGAATAACCCCTCGGGCGAATGGTCCCTGGAATTGGAGCTGAGTCCATGTTCCCACACTTCTAAGTTCACTTTCCCTTGGCCTCCTGCAGTGGCTGGCACCTGGCCAGGAACAACGCCAACACCTACAACAACTCAGAGGAGGAGTGAGTACCTGCACTCTCCAGAGCCCCCATCTTCCCTCCTCCCATAGACATCCCACCTTTGCCTCCCTCCTTAAGTATCCCTGCGTCCCATCCTCTCAAAACACTGCCAGACCATTCTAGAATCCTGTTCCTTTCACTGGACTTCCATCCCAATGAACAAATAGGGGAGGGATCTGGTCTGTTTGACTTCTTGAGACAAGTCCTTTTATCTCTTTGTCTCAGTGTCCTCATCTGTTAAGAAGGGGTCGGATGGGATCAATGTTCTCAGCTTTAGCACCCTCTACTGCTGTATATGTGAGTGTGCACACTGGAACTCCTTTAAGGAGCAGTGGGTGTTCCTCACAGAACCTCAAGCTCGCGTGTGCCAGTAAAATGCTCTTGTCTTAAAAGCCAATGCAGGCCAGTTTGGAAGCAAAATCAGGGCAGCAAAAAGAGAAAATTTAATTATTTCCAGAGTGTAGCCTCTAGAAACAGTGACCCGCTATAATTACTTTCTGTCACCAGGCATTGAGCCCACAGATCACTGAAATGTGTGATTATAGCAAATGCTACCCAAGAGCCCAGGGAAGGCGTGTGCATGTGTGATCATACATATGTGTTAGCATGTGTGCGCCATTCTCCTGCCTTCTTCATGGAATACCATGGGAATAGGTAGAGGAGAGCCTCTCAGTTGAAGCTTAGGGAGAAACCATCAAGATCAGCAAGAAATGCCAATTTCTTGGCTTCCAATTGAAACAGATGTACCAAGGCTTTTCCTTGTTATTTCCTTTTTTTTCCTTCAATAGAAACTTTTTTCTTTACCCTTCATGAACCTTAGTTACATTTTGTTGCATGAATTTGGACATCAAATCCAGAGACCCAATGCCAACAATCAAGAAAAATGAAATTATTTCAGCTACAAAACAATAGCTGTTGCAATATGTATTTGACTTAAAGCCAAATCTGGTATTAAATACCTTTGAAACCTGGTATTGAGCCCCACAGTCAGGAAAGGCTCCACTAGAAACTGGACAGAGGTCCTGGGGGTCTCCAGGCTTCTTTGTCCTTGGGCTGGCATCTGGGTGAGGATGGGGTGGATGGTATTAGCTTCACTGAGCTCCTATAAATCTTTTCAGATGGGCTCGTATCATGGGTCTTTACTGCAGCCAAGGACCAAAGGACAAAATTGGAGACTGTCCCAAAGAGGGCCACCTAGACACAGAGAGAAATGATTCTTATAGGCATGCATCCCCATTTTTCCAGCACACTTCTGGCATTTTCCCTTAGTCCCATGAGTCCTGAATCTCCCTCCCTGACCAAACTGCTCCAGCCAAAACCAGTATTGTTTTGAAGCTATCTGTAGGTCTTTTGGGTCAGTGCTGGGTGGATTTGGAAATGCAGCTGGATGGTGCTGGGTCTCTCCTGGGCCGTCAGCAGATTGGTAACCAGAGGTAAGGCCAAAGGCTGTATCCAGGAGGCAAAATTCTGGACAAGGAAACCTGAACCTGGTGCAATTAAAACTCTCTGCAAGCTTAGTGTGCCCAATAAGCTTGTGGGCAGCGCCCTCTGCTGCTGTTTTCATGTTAAGACTTCAGTAGCCCAAAAGACTTCCTGGGGCGTATCACAGTAGATCAAGAGGACAGAGGATGGGTGACTGTCCTTGCTCTTCTCACTTAACAAGTTTAAGTAAAATTTATTCTTAATCAATGTATTTATATGTGAATGTCAAAAACTTGCAAAACACGGAAAAGCAAACATGAGGATATACCCACAGAAAAATACACTTCATGTTAACCGTGGAATCCCATCTTAACCCGTCTTAACATGTTGGTAAAGCTACTGCCCCGTTTTTCCTAGCTATAAAAATTGAATGGATAGATATATAGATAGAATGTATTTAATACACATACTGATAAAGAGCACTTGTATCCCAACTCAACCACCTAAGGTCTTTGTGACCATGGGTAAGTTACCTGACCTCTCTGCGCATCAGCTACCTGACTTGTAAATTAGATAGGGTAATAGTCTCTTACTTACAGGTCCATATGAAAACTAAATGTGTTAAAATATGTAAAGTGCTTAGAACAGTGCCTGGTACATAGTCAGTGCTCAATATCAACTAGCATGTTAAGCAGAATAACTTCAGACTGCAGCTGGAACTGGGCTTGGGGCTTGGGACGTCAGGCTGCAGGTCTGCCTGGGTCAGCTGTGTGAGCTGCTGGCCAGGCCTCTGCAGTTCCCACCAAGCTGCCCCTCCTGGATGCCCCACCTCACTCACCTCTCTGAGCCTCCACCACCCAGGGCTGCTTCGCACCTCTGGCGCACCTAGCAGCTGCCTCCAACATGCTGGAACTCACGGATGACAACTTCTTCAGAGAGTCACATCTCTGACATGGGCTCTGCTGCCCTCATGCTCTGTCAAGGTCTTTGCCCCCTGGTGTGGACCCAGCAAGAGGCTTACTGTTGAGTATTAAGCTGCAGCTACCAGATTAAAAGGAATTGTTCCATTAGCGAGGGTTGATTGTACTGCCAACACAAACACTTGTAGTAGGTATGGAGTCAGTGGATAGCCAACCCTGGAGATATTTGTAGATGGTGAAGAAGCAGGTGCTTATTGGTGGCCCAGGACTGCTGATGGAATTGTCAACCACCTAAGAGCAGACAGGACCAGCTTCAGTTCCTCTCAGGACTGATGAAGAATTTGAGAAGTCCATTAGTGATAAGGATGCTTCTGGGGTGGATGTGGACGAAGAAAAGGATGCTAAGAGTTCCAGCTGCTGGAGAAACAGGGTGATGTTGGGGGCACAGAAATTCCTGGATGGATGCTGGACACAATCTCCAGTCAGCTGTAGCTAGCCACAAAACCTTTAGCCATGAACTTTCCAATTCTGGTTTGGAAAGCACTGCCAAAGAGATTCTGCTGTTGCCATAAGAACTGCAAAAGGAGAGAAGCTTGTCATGCAGGAGGAGTTCTCAGGTGATGGCAAGGCTCTGAGAGATCCCTGCTGGGTTACTCCAATGGTAGCCTAAAGAGATACCTGAAGGCTGAGCCTACCCTGGAGAGGAATAGCCAACCCATAAAAGTAGTGGTAGGTAGAACAGTGGTTCCCCATGATGCCCAGGCCCTAATCCCCACTCTTGGGACTCTACTTCCTTACATGGCAAAAGGAAATTTGCAGGTGTGATTAGTATTAGGTAGCACAGGTGGCTAAGAAAAGACCAGGAGCCAAAAAGTTCCTATTAAGGGCTTTTATTCGAGGCAGCCGGGCTGAGTCTGAGCAGACTATAGTGGCAAGGGAAAGGGTAGAAGAGTTTCTAAGGGTGTGTGGCAGGCTCCCAGAGAAGGTGGGTCACCCCACTGTTCTGTCCCAGGTGTCCTGGGTATAGATGTTTGCAAGACAGTGTCCTCTAATCAGGGATGGCTGACTCCATGACAGAAAGTCCAGGAGATTTATGGGCCTTGTTTCTGGGAAAAGCTCAGTGGAGAAGGGAGGGGCAGTGAGGATTCAACCGGTTTCCAGCGGGATGCCAGCAGCTGTGCCTCAGTTGCTTCTGATGTGGGGAATCTTGCGGTCAGGCATTTAGCGGTGACGCATACCTTGTTCCAGCATAGGCAGTGACTTAGGTCCTCCAAGTCCCAGTACATTCTAACAGTTAGGTTTAAGGACCTTAAGATAGCAGATGATCCTGATCCTAGATTATCAGGGTGGGCCCCCACTAATCACACGCATCCTTCAAAGTACAGAATCTTTCCCAGCTGCAGAAAACCAGGGAGATAGTATCTTGAAAAGAATTCAACCTTTTGCTTCTGGCTTTGAAGGTGGAAGAAGGGTACCACAAACCAACGATGCAGCAGCCTCTGTTAGTTGGGAGTGTCCTCAGGTTACAGCCAGCGACAAAATGAGGATATTGGTCTTATAATCACAAGGAATTGAATTCTGCCAACAATCCAAGCGAGCAGGAAACAGATTCTCCCCTGGAGTCTTCAGAAAGGGTCACGGCCCTGTGATACTTAGCTCACTTCTAATTACAGATGTGCAAGATAACTCCGGGTTGTTTCAGGCCATGAAGTTTGTGGCAATTTCTTCTGGGAGCAGCACAAACACACACAGCTATTACTATAAACTCTTGTGTAGTCTGCTTTTTAACTTAGCTGAATATCAGGACCATTTTCCCACATCACTGAATGTTCTTCAATGACATTTGCAGAGGCCTCATTGGATTTCACTGTTGGTGATGACTCTCCTACTGTTGCATGGTGGAATCACTTGCGCTGTTTGATTATTATAAATAATGGTAGTGATTATTCTTTTGTATGCTTGTTTGCACACAGCTTTGATTACGTCCTTAGGAAATGCTATGTAAACTGCACTGCTCTCCTTCAATGAGTTTTTAATGAGCAGACATTCATTTCCCATCCCGTGTCTTCCTCCAGGGTGTGGAATAGGGAGTCAGAGGAGCCCACAGTTCCCCAAGGAGGTCCCTTCCCTTCCCTCTTGGTCTCCTCAGCTGTTCAATGGATGGCAATGCTTGACTTGCAGAACTATGGTAATTATTAACAGATAACCTTTATGACCGGCCGCCCTTTAAGTGCCCAACCCTTAAAGGGCGGCCGGTAAAGGAGAGGAAGCTGAGTGAAGCCCTGTGTTAAGCAGACAGCTGCACTTGCAGGACCTTCCTGCCCATGGCTTTCCACCCACAGCCTCAGCGACTCTAAGATGAGCCACCTGGGGCGAGCCCTGTGGGGAGCTTGCTTCCCCAGGTTTTCATTTGATGCAGAGATAGGTTTTGAGAACAACCAACTGGCCACACCCCTCTCCTTCAGAACAAAGTGCTTTACAGGTGACTTCCAAGAGTCTCTGACTTTTTCATCCTAAAAGTATGGGTTTGGGTTTATTTCCCATCACCTCAAAATGTCTCCTGTCTTAGGTGTTTATGACTTCCTAGAGGCTCATGAAAATGGGCCAAAACTTGCACAACACTAGGCTGAACCACTGTGCACACTTCAATGTACATAACGTGAGCTTCACTGGCTGGTTTGCCTCACACTTTGGGAATAAGAATAATAATAATGATATTATTATTATTATTATTATAAAATCAGTAACCTCCTTTCACCTCAGTGTGCAAAACACCCACTTCCTACCGCAGGCCTTCTCCGCATCAGTCCAGCTTACCCTCCCTGTGCTGTGGTTTATGAAAATTGCTTAATATTACCCCGTATCATTAGTGACAAGGAAAGAAAGAATGAGAAAGAGAAACAGGAAGAAGAGAGAAAGGAAAACTGCCTAAGACGAGAGGACTAAATACTGAGAGACATGCTTCCCAGCAGGGGCTCAGTGGTCACGTGGAACCTGACCCCGCCCAGAGACCCAGGACCTGGGGATAAGGGTGACACTGTCAGGCCTCAGGGTAGCCCTGGAGAGGCCGGTGACAGCAGCCAAAGAGGAGTTGGTCCCAGGCAAAGGTCAGGCTTCTGAGACCCTGTGACGGTCTCGTCCTTCAGGGAGAGTCCTGGCCCAGTTCCAGGGCTCCAAGGGGGGCTTACTGGTAGAGAGGGTGGTCTGAAGCCTCAGGGGAGCAGGTAGGGGCTATCCCTGCGAACCTGTGCAACCCGCCATCCCCAGACATTCTATTTGCCCACACAAGGGCCGCCCACACAGTCTGGTAAGCTGAGGCCTTCTCCTGGGCACTTGAAAGTACCATAGCCACAAACCTTAATCCAAACCCAGTGCTGGTAAATGATGAGAACAGTCCATATGCGATAGGTGAGCAGATAATCTTGCACTTGCTGAGTCCAGGCAAGGACAGGAAGACTCCCCAGTCTCCTCCAAGGCAGAGCTGGGCCAGCACATGGGGCATATGGGCTGGGGACCCATAGAAAAAAGAATCTTCAACACTGCCTGTAAAATCTAATCCTCAGAAGATCCTGAAAGTGAAAACAGAAAGCACTCTAAGCCATTTCTCCTCTCAGCATTGCCCACATCACCAAGGTGTGCCCAAGGTGGTGGTTTTGATGGAGAGGCAGGATCCAGGTGCTTGGAAATGAGCCTTTAGAACACCTGTGCAAATGACGTAAGCAAAGTGGAAAGTGTTCCCAAGGGAGTGCTCCCTGCTCCCAAGTGCTGTCCGGAGAGGAGCTGCCTCAGAACTATCAAGCAATGTGTGAATGCACGTTGGCAGGCTCCAGCCCTGGAGGGGGTTTGGGTGGGCCCCAGGGAACTGCATTTTCGTGAAGTTCCCCAAGGCCCCGCCCACAGCCCTCAGTGACCTCATCATGCTGCATTTTTATTCCCAGCGTCATGGAGGCATGGGGATGTCACCGCCATGATGTTACAGTCAACTTGGCTTCCTGGGGAGCAGAGCTGGGAGGGAGGGACTTCCAGAGTCTGCCCTGCCTCCCAGCCTGCCTTCCCTTGCAGGGAAACCCATGTGACCCTTGAGGTCAACACTGTCTGGAACAACTCTCACGTGAGCGTCCACCTGCAATTGTCCTAGGGTTTCTAAGCTAGGCCAGGTTTTTAAGATCCTGCAAAGCTGTGGTCTTTCAACACACTGCACTGTTTGTGGGTATCTGTGTTTCCAGAAAGAAGGACACCATTGTGGTGGACCCCTCTACCAACGTGTACTACCGCTGGCTGACCGTCATTGCCGTGCCTGTCTTCTACAACTGGTGTCTGCTGGTGTGCAGGTAGGGCTGTGGGGGGCAAAGGAGAGTAAGGGAGAGGGAGGACAGCCAGGCATCAAGACAGAACTCTGAGTCTCACTCTAGAGCCCGGGTTCCTGCTCTCCTCTCAGCCACCATCCTGCTGCTTACGCCTCGGTTTCCCCATCTGTAAGCCAGTTCTAGAAGAGCACCATCAGGGTGCTCTGGAGCACTGGTGGGGACCCGTGCTCAGGACTGATGGCAAGAGTCCTGGCACCTTGGAGCCTTACTAGAGTTGTAGGAGGAAGATGCAGGGTGGGAGGTGGGGCATTCCTGAGCAGCCTACCGGACAGGGTGCAGGTCAGGGGCGCTGTTCTCTGATTGCAAGCTGTGGGCTGGGCTTTTTGTGCAGGGGAAGCTGCTGCTCTCAGGAAGGCAGCCAGAGCCTTTGTGGGGCTCCTGAGCAGGCCTGCAGGACAGGGTGCAAGTTCCTAGGCAAGAGCGTACTTCTGGGTTGCAAGGGCAAGCTGTTGCTCTTCTGGAGATACGCAGAGGCTCAGGAACCTCCCTCAGTAAGGGGCAGGACAGAAAGGTGGGTGCGCTGCAGCTCTCGGTGGGCAAGCAGAAAGTCTGAGGCAGAGGAATGTCAGGATGGTCATTTCTCCTCTGAGGGAGAAAGGCGGGGTAGGCGGGGGTCAGCAGGCATTTCTGAACTAGGTATAGGGCAAGGATTCGGGAACAAGAGGCTGCATTTCTGAGAGTGACCAGGGGCTTTGGGGCATTTTTGTTCAAGTCTGGAGACAAGAATGCAAGGGTGAATGGGCTCTTGCCGTGCGAGGGGGACCTGGAGGGGATGAGCAGGTGCAGCTACTCTTCTGAGGGTGGGGCTTTGGGAGTTTTCTTAGCAGGTATTCAGGAACAGAGCTGTTGCTCTTCTGGGTACGCAGGAGGGTCCGGGCTTTTCTAACCAAACTTCAGGAAGTGATGAAGGGTGAGCTGCTCCCCTCTGAGCATTAGCAAGGCGCTGGGGGCTCTTCCTGGCAGGTCTGCAAGACAAGGATGCAGGGTGAGCTGCTGCTGTCCTGAGGGCAGACAGTAGGCACAGGGGAAGAAGGCAGTGGAGCTTTGGGCCCTTCCTAAGCAAGGCTGCAAGACAGGTAGGACTACTTCTGCGGGTGCACAGGGCTTTGGGGCTTTCCTAAGCACCTGGTAAGACCAGGATGCCGGGGAGAGGTGTTGCTCCGTGAGGGCAAGCAGGGGCTCTGGGGCTTTCCTGAGCCAGCCTGCAAGGCGAGACTGAAGGAGTGAGTCCAACTTTCCTGGTGGGTGTGGGAGCCACCTGACGGTGCCACATGACAAGGATGCAGAGACCTATGGCTCTCAGAGTGTGAGCAGGGGCCTTGGGAATTATCTGAGCAAGGGGCAGTCTCTTGCTCCTCTGAGGGTAAGTGTCGGGGGTGAAGAGGGAGGAGGACTCAGGGCCTTTCCTAGCATGCCTGGGAGTACAGAGGCAAGCTGGGGGCAAGAGGGATATTTTGCAGGGATTGTCTGTACAAGAAGTAGTGAACATAAAGATCTAGGAAGTAGAAAACATTTACTGGTTTGTTCAGTTGTTAATCTCCCAGAAATTCTCATATTTTTGACCCCAGAAAGGGCGAGTCCTCAGCCCTTTCAGCTGACCTAACCAGGCAGGCCTAGCAAAACTTCCTGTCCTCGGGTCTCAGAACTTCCTGCTCAGAAGCATCAAGGCCCACTCGTTGGGGTCAACCCTAGCTCTTCTGAGCTATGTGGCCTTGGGACAGAAAGGCTCCTCAGAGCCTAAGGTGGTAACGCTGGGGCATAAGCCCTGCTGGCAAAGCTGTTACTGGATCAACCAGCCCAGTGTTTGCACCACTGAGCTGGTGCCCAAAAGGGGACCCTGCTCCAGACATCCCACCCCTTGTTGCACTGGTTTAGGGCCTGTTTTGACGAGCTGCAGTCTGAGTACCTGATGCTGTGGCTGGTCCTGGACTACTCGGCAGACATCCTCTATGGCTTGGATGTGCTGGTGCGAGCCCGGACAGGTGAGTGTGCCCCGACCCGGGACCCTCTGGGCCAGGCCCCAGGCCCCACATCAGGAAGGGTCTGGGGAGACCATGAGCCATGTTCAGGAAGATCCAGAATGGTAGAGTAACATTACCTACCGCTGACCACTAGAGGCCAAGCAGGCCTGGGGAACTTCCAGTAGTGAGGCAGGTAGTGTTGCCTTAAGTTTCCTCTACAATGACCCCTTGGGCAGGGCCTCATTTGTATTATCCATGAAATAAGAAGGCTTTGAGATAATGATGTGGTAGGACTGGGATGCAGGGGAGAGGTACCGCTCCATGAGGACAAGCAGGGCCTCACTCGTATTACCCACAACATCTTCTCAAAGCTCCCTTCCAGCTCAACACTGCTGGAAGCAGGCGACACCTGTCAGTCTTCCCTGGGAGAGTTGGAGGACCCAGGATAAGTCACTCCATGGCTTTTACAGGAGTATTAAATATGGAGAACTGAAATCTAAAACAGGGCCTTCCTACAGATCACCTCTGGCTGCAAGTGGGAGCTAAACACCCCCATGCCTCCAAATCTTGCATCTTTGGGGCATCTTTTCCCAATTTGCACCAAAACACCACATAAGCTAGCGGGTGCCCTGCTTGTGACTTCCAAGATTTTTTTTTTACCTAAAAACTGTGCCATAGTCATCAATGTAAACACCACTGGGTCCCAGCAACAAACCATGTGGCTTCACAGTATACAGAGCGTTTCAGCACATCTTGTTTTCCTCAGTAGGCCTGCATATGAGAAAGGCGTGCAGGCATGACTCTCTCCATCTGGCTGATTTAGAAACTGAGGCCCAGAGAAGCTGAGTGACTGGCCCAGAGTCCACAGTCACTACCCAGCAGCCCCCTGTTTCCACATCAGTGCCCAGCATTGTAACAGAAGGCCTCATGTACACAGCTTGAAGTTTGCACAGGCAACTTAGCCAGTCCTGGGGGTTGGCCAGTCATTGCTCACGTAAGCCTGCCAAGACTTAAGAGCTCCTGGAGTGGCCCAACTCATTGGGCTAACTGTCCCTGTTTCAACCAAGCTTCAGGAGGACAGGTTACTCTGACTCAGACACTGACCATCCCCCTACCCACCTCCTTGTGTTTTGGTGCTATCTCTGGCAACCTAAGATTCAATGGGAGTCAGGGGACGAGGGGAGAGGTGGGAACAAAAATAAAATTGACTGTGGATTATATTCCAGAGACAAAAAAAAAAAAAACTCTTCGAAATTGAAAGAAGATGTAATAAGGAAGTATCGAGGAGTCTCGGGGCACACGGAGTGCCATGAAATGATCTAGGATCTCAATAAACAAAGCAAAGAATGAAATAAGGAATAGGGAGTTGGGAAGCAGGGTGTCCCTAACATGTGACAACACACCTGATTTCTGTTTTTCCCAGGGGGCAGTCCTACCTCTGTCTGCCTCAGAGCATGCTCTGGACCAGCAGCAGCACCCCTGGGGCCTCTTACAAGTGTCCCAGGCCTAACTTTGGGGATGGGCCCAGCACCCTGTGTTTCACAGCCCTCAGGTGGCTTGATGCTTACCACAGTCTAAAAATATATGTTAAATTATTCTTTCTACTTTTGTGCATGTTTGAAAATATTAAGAAGAAGGAGGAGGAAGAGGAGAAGGAGGGGGAGGAATAGGGGGAAGAGGAAGAGGGATAAGAGGAGGGGAAGGAGAAAAAGAATTCAAGTCGTGCTCGCTGGATTGATTTCACCAGTAATCCAGCAATTACGCCTCATGACTCTCAATTTCCAGAGCAGTCTGATTTTTTGGGGGTGGGTTTCAAGCTTCATATGTTTTAAAGCCCCTTGAATGACAGCCATGTGCAGCCAGGAGGGAGTACTGCTGCTTTCCTAGATGATGTCTTTAAAAAGAAGGTCATGACCCAGTAGTGACTAGTGAAATCAACTGGATAGGCTATGACCTGTGCTTTTAAAATTTTTATTAATATTTTTAAATATACACAAAATCTGAGCGAGCAGTTTTATGGATCCCCATGTAACCTCACCCCACTTCAACAGTTACCAACATTTTGCTAATCTTGTTTCATCTGCCCTTTCCACCCCTTTTCTTGACCGGAAGATTTTAAAGCAAATCCCAGAGAGTAACTCCTTCACCATGTATCTCTAACTTTAAAGGAACCATTAAAAATATTACCTCTATTCATGTTTCAAAATTTAATAATCAGGGGATTTCCAGCCAAGATGGAGGCATAGGTAGATACGCTTCAATTTCTCACACAACCAAAAGAAGGATAACAACCAATTTAAAAACAATAAACAACCAAACTGCCAGAATAGCAAACTGCATGGAATTCAGACAACTAAGGAGTTACAGAAACATTCATCTAGACTGTTAAGAGGGGCTGAGAGAGGCACCCAAAAGCCAGACAGTCAGAGAGGACCCGAGGCAAGGCTGTGGATCACTCGGGGGAGATGGGGCTGGCTCACCTGGAAACTAAAGACTTAAAACCTGTCTTAAAATCCTGGGGTGTTTGCGAAGGCAAACTAGGAGAAATTCCTAGTCTCACAGGAGAGTTCATTGGAAAGTGGGGCTAGATCAGAGCAAGCAAGCAGCATAGCTCCCTCTCTGACCCCTCTCCCCAAGACAGCACCACAAAGCTGCGAAGTGGGTTGCCCTGCCCTGGTAAATACCTAAGGCTCTGCCCCCTTATAACATAACAGGTGCACCGAGACAAAGAAATGTGGCCCAAATAAAAGGACAGATCGAACTCCAAAAAAAGAGCTAAGCGATGAGGAGATAGCCAACCTATCTGAGGCAGAGTTCAAAACACTGGTAGTCAGGATGCTCACAGAACTGATTGTTCTTGGTTGCAAAATGAAGAAATGAAGGCTACACAAAGTGAGATAAAGCAAAATAGACAGGGAACCAACAGTGAAGGGAAGGAAACCAAGACTCAAATCAACAATTTGGAACAAAAGGAAGATATAAACATCCAACTGAAATGGAATAAAGAAACAAGAATTCAAAAACATGAGGAGAGGCTTAGGAACCTCTGGGACAACTTTAAGCACTCCAACATCTGAATCAGGGATGCCAGAAGGAGAAGAGGAAGAGGAAGAAATTGAAACTTATTTGAAAAAATAAAGAAGGAGAACTTATCCAATCTGGCCACGAAATAGACTTTCAGGAAGTCCAGGAATCTCCGAGTCCCAAAGAAGCGGGACCCAAGGAGAAACACACAAAGGCACATCATAATTAAGTTACCCATGATTAAAGGCAACGAGAGAATCATAAAAGCAGCAAGAGAAAAGGAGACAGTTACCTACAAAGGAGTTCCCAGAAGACTATCAGCTGATTTCTCAAAAGAAACGTGACAGGCAAGAAGAGGCTGGAAAGAAGGACTTGAAATCATGAAAGGCAAGAACCCCCATTCAAGATTACTCTACTCAGCAAAGCTATCATTTAGAATGGAAGGGAAGATAAAGTGCTTCCCAGATACAGTAAAGTTAATGGAGTTCATCATCACCCAGTCCTTATTATATGAAATGTTCAAGGGATTTATCTAAGAAAAAGAGGATAAAAAACTATGAACAATAAAATGACAACAAATTCATAACTATCAACACCTGAACCTAAGAAACAAAAACAAAAACTAAGCAAACAATTAGAACAGGAAAAGAATCACAGAAATGTAGATCACATGGAGGGTTTTCAGTGGGGAGTGGAGGGTGGGAATTTGTGGGGGTGGGGAAGGTACAGGGAATAAGAAGAATAATTGGTAGGCAATAAACAGGCAAGGGGAGGTTAACAATAGTATAGGAAATAGAGAAGCAAAAAAACTTATATTTACAACCCATGGACATGAACTATATGGAGAGGGGGACTGGTGAAGGGTGGGGGTGGTGCAGGGTGGAGGGGAGATAAAGGAGGGGTTAATTGGGGCAACTGTAATAACATAATCAATAAAATATACTAAAAAACTTAATAACCACTTCTTTCTATCTCTAATGCCCAATCCACATTCAAATGGACCAGATCGATCTCTATTTTTAATTTAATCAAATGGATTAGAACATTATAGACTAGTAAATATCAGAGTGCATTTCCTATAGTGATGATAAGTATGGTTTTTGAAGTGGTTTCTATTATTTGTGTATAACTGTCTCCTGTAGTCGCATTGTGAAATATCTTCTGTGGGCCATGGTCAAAAAACCCAGCCTCTTTGATGCCTAACTGACTTCCATCTCCTTCTTTAGGCTTCCTCGAGCAAGGCTTGATGGTCAGGGATACCAGGAGGCTGTGGCAGCATTACACAAAAACCTTGCACTTCAAGCTGGATGTGTTGTCCCTGGTCCCCACAGATCTGGCTTATTTTAAGCTGGGCATAAACTACCCAGAAGTGAGGTTCAACCGCCTACTGAAGTTTGCCCGGCTCTTTGAATTCTTTGACCGCACAGAGACGAGGACCAACTACCCAAATGTGTTTAGGATTGGGAACTTGGTTTTGTACATCCTCATCATCATCCACTGGAATGCCTGCATCTACTTTGCCATTTCCAAGTTCATTGGCTTCGGGACAGATTCCTGGGTCTACCCAAACATCTCAAACCCAGAGTATGGGCGTCTCTCCAGGAAATACATTTACAGTCTCTACTGGTCCACCTTGACCCTGACCACCATTGGTGAGACCCCACCCCCTGTGAAAGATGAGGAGTATCTCTTTGTAGTCATAGACTTTCTGGTGGGTGTCCTGATTTTTGCCACCATTGTAGGCAATGTGGGTTCCATGATCTCAAACATGAATGCCTCAAGGACTGAGTTCCAGGCCAAGATTGACTCTATCAAACAGTACATGCAGTTCCGCAAGGTGACCAAGGACTTGGAGACACGGGTCATCCGGTGGTTTGACTACCTGTGGGCCAATCAGAAGACAGTGGATGAGAAAGAGGTGCTCAAGAGCCTCCCAGACAAGCTGAAGGCTGAGATCGCCATCAACGTGCATCTGGACACACTGAAGAAGGTCCGCATCTTCCAGGACTGTGAGGCGGGGCTCCTGGTGGAGCTTGTGCTGAAGCTGCGGCCTGCAGTGTTCAGCCCAGGGGACTACATCTGCAAGAAGGGGGACATTGGGAGGGAGATGTATATCATCAAGGAGGGCAAGCTGGCTGTGGTGGCTGATGATGGGATCACCCAGTTTGTGGTCCTCAGTGATGGGAGTTACTTTGGGGAGATTAGCATCTTAAACATCAAGGGGAGCAAGTCTGGAAACCGCAGGACGGCCAACATACGGAGCATTGGATACTCAGACCTGTTCTGCCTTTCTAAGGATGACCTGATGGAGGCACTCACTGAATACCCTGATGCCAAGAAGGCCCTGGAGGAGAAAGGACGGCAGATCCTGATGAAGGACAACCTGATTGATGAGGACCTGGCCAAGGCTGGGGCAGACCCCAAGGACATCGAGGAGAAGGTGGAACACCTGGAGTCCTCCCTGGACACCCTACAGACCAGGTTTGCACGGCTCCTTGCTGAGTACAATGCCAGTCAGATGAGAGTGAAGCAGCGTCTCACCCAACTAGAAAGCCAGATGAAGTCCTGTGGGAGCAGCCCTCTGCTTGATGGGGACGCTCTAGGACCAGAAACCAAACAACAATGAAAATGCAGAGGTCTGTCTCCTGCTTCCCAGAGTCAGCTGTCAGTGTGATAGTAGGTAGCCCGCATGGCAGGGGACTGGGCAGGGTTCCATTCCGGCTGTCCTTGTCCTTTGCATGCTGTGCAGCCTTGGAAGTGGGCCTTGGACGCCTCATCTAGAAAATGGGACTTGTTATGTCAGCCTCAGTTAAGTGTTAGGTTATTCTGGGGTCCACATGGAACACTGCAGAGAGCAGGACTTTATAAAGTGCACGGTATCCCCAGTTCAAGCATATGAAAGTGTGGGAACTGAACTCTTATTTTTTTATCTGTAAGGAATTTTTAGACTTCTGATCCTCCTTTCATTGTAACTGAAATGTGGGTTTAGTCCCCCTCTCCCTTCCCCGCTGACACGTCTTGCCATAAAGGGAGATGTAACAAGCTGATAACACAATGCAGTAACTAACTCAAACCTACGTCACACAAGGCAGTTTGAGGCAGATTTCTGAATCTGGAATCTCCCCATGGGCTCTTTGAGACTCTAGAAACCCCAGTCTTTGGTGATACTGTGACAAGTGCAGGATGAAGCAAGATCACCCCATTTAGGGTCACTTCAAGTCTGTCATGCAAATCCGGAAACCCTGCTATCCAGCTCCTGTGAAATGGGAATCTATTTCATGGACAAGAGCATCTCAGCTGAGGAAGGAGACCTCCCCTTCTAACTTGCCAAAGGGTTTCAAAGACAGCCTCTCTTTTATTTGAGTGGGAGATCTGGGGAGGCCTGTCCTGGCTGGAGGAGGAGTTGTGTTTAGGGAAGAGCCTTTCAGGTTGATGGCTGAAATGAGGTTCTCAGCCAAACAAAGCTGACAACTGAGACTTTAAGAAGATGAGATCCTTAGGCCACATCTTTACAAACTCCCCCTTCTCCCCCAAGGAAACCTCACCCTCCCTTGGAATTGCATCTGAGGCAAAGCTCTTAGCTAGCAAAAAGCATACACAATGCAGGCTGTAGCTTTTATAAAAAATCCAGTAAGTAGAATTCCATTAACATTTTATAAGATATTTATATATATAAAATCTATGATTGCAAATTATAATCTTAATGATGAATCCTTTGCTTAGATATGCCTTGTAAATTACCCCAAGAGGAGTCATTCCCCTAATGTGGACAAGCCACATGAGCAGGTTTTCCTTCTTTTCTCATCTCTCCCCCGCCCCCCCGGCCTTTCTTCTCTTCTTCTGAGACAAAATGCCCCATTTTGCTTTGGCAACTTTGAAGTCTCTGTGGTCTGATGTTATAATCCATATGCCACATAACTGGGTCCTAATATAGTTCATACAAAAGATATTGCATTTTCAAGTATGTATTGTAGTTTTCATGGGTATCTTCTGGTTTTTATTATGACTCATTTGGCCACTTTAATTTTTTTAAATGAATTTAAAAGATTTATTAAGAGAAGTTATGATCAAAGCTCATGTCATCAGCAAAATACAACTAGCAATATATTCTCAAAATGCATATGTTTTAAAAGCCTTAACTGTTAATTATGCCTACATATATATTTGCACAGGAAAAATAAAGACCTGAATTTAAAAACATTGAATGACTCCTGCTTCATATTTTTTCATATTTTGTCATAAGGGAAGATGCAGTCCTGAGGTATGTTTCTAGGGCTGTGGTCTGGCGACACCTGAAAGAACAGGTGCTGGTGAGCAGGGGACAGTTCACTCCATGCAGGGCACATACACAGCCAGCAGCAGGTGAGAAAATGCAACCAAAGCTATGGCATTTGTCAGGGTGAAGAAGTCAAAGCATTCAGATATATACCAAGTGTACCCCAGTAGGGATGCTAACTGTGCTAGTATCCTTTGTCCAGGGCCGTCACAGGGTGCTCAGGGTGGGAAGGCATGCGTGAACAGACAGGAAGCTGGAAGAGGCCCGGGTAAGCATGCTCCTGGCCTTTCCTCTGCTGACACCCAAGGAGTTTCAGTGGTAAGTTAGAAAGTGGGGAGTCAGGCCTTCTCTCATTCAAGTCACAACCTTGCCACTCAGGCAAGTTATTTTATCTTTAGGCCTCACCTTTTTCACCTGGAAAGTAGGAATTAAACACCCACCTCAGAGAGTTGTTGTAAATAAACATTATTTTCAGCTAGTTAGCCTCCAACTTCCAAGATAGTTGAGAAGTTGAGTCTCAAGTTGTTGTTAGGACTCCTATTTACTGACTCGGAAACTGAGGCAGGGTTTGTGGCCTCCCAGGCATTGTGGCTGCCCTTGGAGGCCACCATCAGAACCCAGGCTGGGAGACAGCTTCCCACAGAAGAATGTGTGTATGTGCTTGTGTGTGTGCCTCAGGACAGAGAGTCCCTGAGACAGGAAAGGAAGGAAATGGATATGGACTGATGCGTGTTCCCTGGCAGAACCCTGGGGAGGTAAGAGATGGTAGGACCTCCGATAAGGGGCTGGAGCTTTGGCTTTGTGGAACCCAGTCTGGCAAAGATTCCAGAACCTCAAGATCAGAAAGTCCCAAAACTGATATATCTCAAGGAACTATGCGCAGTTGGACAATGAGTGCCTTGGAAGTAACCAGTATAAATAATCTCTGAAAATATTTGTAACTCAACTGATTTATCAAGTGGGAAGCCTGCTCCATGCCCCATGAAGCATTGGCCCTCAGAGGTCTGATACTCCCAGCTCCCCAAGTCAAACAGGGTCAGGGAACTAGGGTAGCTTTGTCAGAACAACTCCTGTCCATCCCAGACCCTTCTGCCAGAATTTTATCAAACAGAAACTAAGGCAGCTTCCTTCTTTGCGTCTCATGGCCATTAGTAATACCTCGAGGAAAGAAAAGAGAGATGCAAACTGCAATGAACAAAATGGAGAATAAAAATGCTTCCCTGAAGTGCAGAGAGGGATTTTGTCCAGTAAAGAAGAATATGGCAATCCATGTCACCTAGCAACCCCACTTCTGGCTCCACATTATAAAAAAGCTCTCACCTATGTATACCCAGGGATGGGTACAAATGTCTTTTGCAACATTGTTATTAATAGAAAAAATAAGAAATAGCCTAAATATCAGACTCTAAGAACAAATTGGGATAAACATACAATATGTTAGGGTTTTCACCAAAGAGAATTTAATAGAAAGAATGAATTGTATGGGCATTAAAGACCTGAAAGGGCAGAATTGGAGCACTGAGATTATTTGGAGGGAGCAACTGTGGGAGCAGCTATTGCCCCCTCGGGTTGGAGGCACAGACGGAAGTGGTGCTAGAAGGATAGCATCTCAGAGCTGGACCTTGGACTTTTGAGGAAGCGCTCCTACTGGCTGTTTTTTAGGAACCCAGAGGAGTTTGGTAAAGATGGGACTTTGAACATTATCTGAAGAGGGGCATTGCATGGTGAGATTGGTCCTGGGAGTCCCCCCAAAAAAGTCCCAAAAGAAGTATGGAACCAACAACTATTGTCATGATTTTCTGTTGCTGCTAGGACTATATAACCAGGACAGCAGGCAGACAGGAAAAAGAAAGCCCCTCTCCACTCCCCTTTCTTTCACTCTTCCTAGTTGAGAGCTCTAGAAAAGTGAGGGCAGGGAGGTGGACTTCAGACTTGACTGACAGTGTTGCTTCATCTATATTAACTTGTTCACAAATGATTTTAATATTCCCCCATTGGTTAATTAATCATTTGAATTTTATTTCCTGTGCATTGCCCATTCCAAGCCTATTTTATGCTGACTAAACATTCCAGAGGAGGAGGATATCCTTTTGTAGAAGGGCTGGATAAGAAGAAAATCAAGTATTATCAAAATCACCTCAGGAAATATCTTGCATTGTCCTCTGCTTTCAGTCTAGAAGAGTTTGTTAGGTGCAGTACAGCCAGTATTCGCTTCAGGGGAACATGTAGCTCACTCTTGGTAGGGGACCAGAAGAAAGAGTTGGCTTATTTTTGTTACTCTCTTCAGGGCTGTCACATGGTTGCTCTAGTTGTGCACTGACCAAAAGGGTCCCTTCAGAAAAAGCATTCTGAGAGGACTTCTGGTCAAGATGGCTGTGTAGGCAGACATGGCTCACCTCCTGGCACAACCACATCAAAATTAAAATTAAAATATAGAACAACCATCACTCAGAACCACCAGAAATCAAGTTGAATGGAAGTCTGACATCTGCAGAATTAAAGAAACCACACCCATCCAGACTGGTAGAAGGGGGAGAGATGGAGAATGGGCTAGCCCCACATCCACATGTGGTGAATAAAAATTCGGGGAGGATATCTTGGGAGCAAGGAGCCCCAGCCCCACAACAGGCCCCTCCGTCCAGGGTTCTAGTGCTGGGGATATAAGTCTTCAAAACTTCTGGCTGCAAATATTAGTGGGGATGGAGTCAGTGGAAGAAACTGCTGGAGCTTTCAGCCAAGATGGAAGCACAGGTAGATACACTTCATTTCCTCACACAACCAAAAGAAAGATAACAACCAATTTAAAAACAAAAAACAACCAGAACTTCCAGAAAATCCAACTGTATGGAATTCTGACAACCAAGGAGTTAAAGGAGAAATATTTGTCCAGATGGGTAGGAGGGGCAGAGACAGACAGCCAGGGCAGAGAGGACTCCTGGCAAGGCAGTGGCTGGCAGACCCAGTGGGTGAGGCAGTGGCTGGTGAACTGGGCAGTATGACATTCACATGTGGATAAACCAGGAAGAACAATTGAGGAGCAAGACAGACTGTGCCAACCAGGGTTCCAGTGTGTGAAAAATAAAGCCTCAAAACCTCTGTATGTAAAAATCTGTGGGGGTTGCAGTGGTGGGACAAACTGCCAATCTAACAGGAGAGTCTGTTGGAGGGGCCCACAAACTAACCCACCTGAGAATCAGCACCAGGGCAGCACCGGAAAGGGCACAATTTGCTTGTGGGAAGGGGGAGAAGTGACTGAAAGCAGGGCAGGAGCCATGCAAGCAGCATTGTTCCCTCTTTGACCCTTCCCCCACAGACAGCACCACAAAGCAGCGAAGTGGGTTGCCCCACCT